GAAGTCTGCTTGTTTTGGGTCTTGGTCGTGGGCTCGAGGAGTTTAGGTTGGTGTAGGGCTCGGGGTTTTGGGGGTTTAAAAGTTTAGGGTTTTGGGGCGCGGGGTTTAGGCGGGTTTCGGCTTCGGAGTTTAGGTTTTCGGGTTTGGGTGTTGAGGTTTACGGTTTTTTGTGGTGAAGAAGCAAGCGTTGCTCCATGTTACCCTGAACCTTAAACCCGAAAGCCTCAAACCCTAAACCCTGAAGCCAAAACCCTTAAACCCTAAACACTAAGCCCTATATAAGTCAAGGACATTTTCTGGTGGGTAGTTACCAGTTATAGGAGCCTTATAGAAGGTCTATATACCTTATGGAGGCCTTATAGAAACCTTATATACCCAAAACTCCCCACCTGTAGTTTCCTTTAAGTAAGGGGTTACAGTAGAGGTTTGGGTTCAGCGTTTCGGGGTTTGGAGTCTTGACTACGGCTCCTGGGCTGTCCTGGGCGAGGTTTTGGATTTCGATGGATAGCTAGGGGTTGGGATAGGTTGTAGGGGTTGGGTTTGGGGTTAACGGCTCATAGTTTGGGGTTTAGGGTTTAGGGTTCACTTCTAGCCCTTAAGAGGCTTAGGTTCTTCTGTAAGGTTCCTTATACGTTTAGTACGGGAGCGAGAATTCATACCATTAAAGCGTGACTTGAGGCGTTAAGACTTTCATTTGAGATACTAGAAGCAGTGTGATCATGTATTTCATATACTTGCTACACAGAATTTCAGGTAGACTCTATGATACTCCAAATATTCCACAAGCTTATATTACATTGTCGTCTTGTTTTGGGGCACCTACACCCCACCACTAGGATAATGTAGAAGTCGGAAGAAGCACGAATCGTGTTCTTTAGGGCTCCGGATTCTCTTCATCGTACACTATCCCAAACTCCCATTCTAAGGCTGAAAGGCCCCTATATTACAAGCCACGTCTTCTTTGCAACAACCCCAAGGATTTTTACTTATAACCCCAATTAAGGGACTTATAACCCTACTTACTAAGGCCCATTAACCTCCAAGTACCAGTCTGCTCCGGAAGAAGTTCCTTCGTGGTTACGCCCACTGCCCCTTCATCCCCTTGCAAAGTCGTATGCGCAACCCGTCTCGATGTTATGTAAACCCTGGTAGGGCCCGATGACACCTTCTACTCCCCTACAAACACCAACCCTAAACCCTAAACCCCTAAACCCCTAAACCCAAAACCTAAACCCTAAACCCTAAACCCATACAAAGCATGCCAAGGTCTGCATCAACGACTACGTTGGCAAGGCTCCTGTCTTCAACTTTGCCCTTTCCCCTGTACGTAGTGGGTTTGGGGTTTAGGGTTTAGGGCTTAGGGTTTAGGGTTTAGTTTTTAGGGTTTAGGGTGTATCCAGAACCCACAGAGTATCCATGATATTGTTTTGTTTTCCTAGTGAGTTCATCCCCACAAGATCCTCATCAAAGAATGGTTTAACAAAAAAAGGAACTGCATTGGAGGCTATAGGTAGGATTTAGGGGTTTAGGGTTTAGGGGTTTAGCGTTTACGGTTTAGGATTTAGAGTCTTGGCTTGAGGCACGATTTGGGTCTTGCGGCGTAGATCTAGTCCCTAAACCTGACAGTGAACATTCGGCGAGAAGGGTCTTTGGGATTTAGGGCTTTGCGCTGTAGGCTTTGATACTCTAGCGGTTTAGTGTTTAGGGTTTTAGGGGTTTGTGTCGTCTCAGAAGTGAGAAGTGTAGTTAGTGTCTCAGATCTACACAGGCTCCCTGGGTTGACAGTCTCTGGCGATTCCACAAGTCCAGATGCAAAAAGGGTCTACCCTAAGGCTCCTGGACCCTTGTGGTGAAATCCCAAACCTTAGCCCCCAAAGCCGAAACCCTCCCCCAGAAAGCCCAAGACCCTCTTAGGAGCCTTAAGGTAGGGGTTAGGGAGCTCTACTCTAGGCCCAATTGGGGTATACTTTGTTTGATCATTGTGTGCTGGGGATACTTGGAGGATCATGGGACTTAGTAAATAAGATTATAAGTCCCTTAATTGGGGTTATAAGTATAGTTACCCTAATTATAACCCTACTTACTAAGTCCCATGATCCTTTAAGTGTAGCAGAAGCTCGAAAGTTGAAAACCCAATAGCCTCAATCCTTAAGAGCATCGGGAATCCAAGCGCTATTTGGCCTCAATCCGGTTTCCAACTTTCCGGGGTTCACTAGCAACCCCCGAAGCTCAATCGTCTGCCCTGGCATCAGCTCAAGCACCTCAACCCCAAAGTCAACCCTACACCCTAAAACCTAAGCCCAAACGCTCCAAGGAACTAAACCCTAAATCCTAAGCCAAAAAGCCTTTCAACGTAATATGGGTGCCCTAATAGCTACCCTATATTATGTTGGGGGGGCTCCTTATTAAAATTGTGGTATAATGGGCCCCCCAGGCCCCAAAGTTGGAAACCCAATGGCCTCAATCCTGAAGAGTAACGGTTTAGGGTTTAGGGTTTAGGGTTTAGGGAATCGCAGCACTATTTGTCCTTAACCCGGTTTCCAACTTTTTGGGGTTTACTATCCTTAGGGACGAAATGAACCCTAAAAGGGTTTAAGGTTCATATACCATATAGGGGTTCATAGTATATGGGAATAGGGCCCCTACTTTTAAGGGTCATCTGGTCCTCAAGGATAAGAACCCGACATTAACCTCCAACATCCTCCGAGTGTTGAAGCTGTACCCTGGCCATGATAGGACTACTTGGAGGATCATGGGACTTCGTAAGTAAGGTTATAAGTCCCTTAAATGGGGTTATAAAGTAAATATAAGTATAGTTACCTTAGTTATAACCCTACTTACTCAGTCCCATGATCCTTTAAGTACCCCTAATCCACCCTTATAGTAGCCCTTATAGATCTTAAACCCCAAACCCTTTACGGAACCCTACTTACTAAACCCTAAGCCCTAAACCCTACTTACTAAGTCCCATGATCCTTTAAGTAGCATGACCTTTCATGGCCCGAAGGGCCCAAGGAACCCATAATCTGATTTAGGGTTTAGGGTTTAGGGTCTAGGGTTTAGGAATTAGGGTTTAGGCTTTAGGGTTTAGGGAACCCATAATTTACATGCTGTGATGTAGGCTTTGGAGTATAGGACTTTGTGGTTTGGATTGCAGCCATGGCTTCATATTGGGGAGTTGACGATGATTAGGTACTTGGACCTGTATAGGGTCACCTCAAGAGCTCTATGAATCATGATGCATAAACCCCGTTTCCTTAAGGACCTTAGTACTAGGAGCCCTATCTAGGTGCCTATTCCCACGGAAATGAGTTTTCTTTTTCAGGTCTCGCATTACAGTCCTGACAGTCATTTGTCAGTGGTTACTTCAATGGCCAAGCTCTACAAACCTTCAGCCTTGAATCCAAAAGTATGAAGCCCTAAACCCTAAAACCTAAAACCTAAACCCCACCAACAAAGGCACGTTGGAAGGCTGGGCCCCTGAAATAAGATGTCGACCCCTGATTTACTTCCTCCCTTAATGAGGGTTTTAGAAAGGATCCCAATATCAGGGCCCTTAAAGAGAAGGACTATGAATCAGGGGCTTACGTCGTGTTGAGTCTACACCTTGATCGACTTCGGATGCTCTTGACATTTCCGAAGTTCCCCTTAACCATCTTCGTTTGGGTGAGGGTTTCAAACCGGACAGCTTCGCAGCGTTCGGCTTGGCTCAGAGAAGTTCGGCAGCCGCCGGAAAAAACGGTACCGTCAGATAGGGTTTAGTGGTTAGGGCTTTATCGATATGGGAGTTTCCGAAAATAGGGGACCCTAATATAGTACCCTAAATAATAGGATCCTGATTATAAGGACCCCAAAATAAGGTACCCTAATTTTCGGAAACCCCCATATATGCCCTTCAGCATGCAAGCCACTCCTGCCAGACCTTAGTGTCCATTCCTGCTAACAAGAGCCCTCTCCGCATGAACAGAATGAGGTCTTAATTAACGCCCTACACTTAAAACCCTAGCCTCTAGACCGTTTAGTGTGGAACCACCGAATCCCGAATCCGGAGGGCAAACTTTAAGAAGCTGGCTACCCGCTTTTCACTTTGGGAAAAGAATCCGAAACCCTAAACCCTAAACCTTAAGCCCTAAACCCTAAACCCCTCAACCCTAAACAGGACCAAAGCCCAGCCCATACCCATACTGAGGCTCGAAATATCGCCGTACCACCCTAAGGGGTTTTAGGGTTTAGGGCTCAGGAAATCTTAGCTTAAGTCCAGTAAAGCCCTAAACCTAAACCCTATAAGCCATCCTAGGCCCTAAATCAACCTTAAACCTAAAACCTTATAAGCCATCCTAAGCCGAAATCAACCTTAAACCTAAAACCCTAGAAGCCATCCTAAGCCCAGCCCGAAATCAACCTTAAACCTAAACCCTATAAGCCATCCTAATCCCTAATCCACCCTAAACCCAACAAACCCTAGGCAATCCTAAGCCCTACATCCTTTCACATCTCAGACCCTAAACCCTAAACCCCAAACCCTAAACCCTCAGACTGCAGAGCGCCCCCATGCGAGCATGCTGCGCCTGCGGATGCTTTCAGGAGAGGAGGCGGTCGGTCGAGGAAAAGTTGGGGGTTTAGGGTTTGGGGTTTAGGGTTTAGGGTTTAGGGTTTGGGGTTTAGGGTTTAGGGTTTAGGGTTCAGTGTTTAGGGTTGAGGGTTTAGGGTTTAGGGTTTAGGGGTCGGAACCCTAAACCATAAACCTAAACCTTAAACTAGGGTGTAGCGGTTCAGGGCTTACGGGCTTTGGGCCTTGGGGTTTAGGGGTTACAGTTTATAGTGTTTGGGGTCCAAAACCCTTTAATTAAGGCATGCAGGGAGACAATATATTTTTTCTTCCCAAGAACAGCAATTAATGCTAGATGAGCAGTTCCAGTATGGCCGGTCATGCCAGCTATAACTTGAGGACTTGAAACAAACAAACATGGCAACAACACCAAACTGTCAAACATCGCGAGGTGGTGTCGGTGCCTGTGGAAGAGGTGACCAACGTGAGGGCGTTGAAGCTTGTATTGAACAAGCAGCACGGGTTTCCCCCGCGATTCAGGCAAAGGCTATTCCTTCAAAGTGATCTACTGGAAGATGCTTTCGAGCTAGCCACTTCTACGGACATGCTCTTAGAGTTTGTCGTGCTCGACTTCGTCGACGTCTCTTTGCGGCAAGTGAAGGCATTGATTCGAGCTGCGAAATCCGCCAAGCTGTCAGAGGTGGGTTGCTCCCACTCTACTTGGAGGATCATGGGACTTAGTAAGTAGGGTTATAAGCCCTTTAGTTGGGGTTATAAGTATAGTTACCTTAGTTATAACCCTACTTACTAAGTCCCATGATCCTTTAAGTAAGCCCGACCGTTCCATGCAGTTTATAGTGTTCAGGCTTGAGAATCGCGCGATAAAACGATTTTTCCCTATTAAAAGAATTCAATAATGATTCAATAATGATTCAATAAAGATTCAATAATGATTTAATCATCAATAAGGCTTGATATAATAAATCAACAGTGAGTAACAATTACTACGCGGTTCTGGGATGAAATCCTAGAAGCCCGAAGCCTCTTTATGGGTGGTTGTCAAAATTAGGGTCCTTTTTTTGGGTCCTTCTTATAAGACGGCACCTATTATTTAGGGTACCCCAAAAGGGACCATGATTTTGACAACTACCCTTATATCAACCTTAAGCCCTAAACCCTAAACCCCATAAGCCCGATAGAATCCTATAACCCATAGTAAGGGACTTATAACCCTAATTACTTCTAAATACCCATGAACCTCCTAGTAAGCCCTATAGAATCCTATGAGCCTGGAGGTGGAGTCCATGCTTCAGCTTCCTCAGGATCCCAATCTTATATCTCGGTCAGGTGCGACATCTCCCAAAGCCAGAGAACATCGATAAGAAGGCTTTAGGGTTTAGGGTTTAGGGTTTAGGGTTTAGGGCTTACAGGGTTTAGGGTTTAGGGGTTTATAGGGTTTAGGGCAACCTGAAAGAAGCTTGTGGAAGGAGCCCCCAAAGAAGCTTTTGTTAGGTGAGACGGCGCTGGCACATGCGGTTGCTAAGAACCACTTGGAGATCGCGCGAGTGCTCGTCGAAGCCGGATCCCACGTGGATGCTGCAGTGGGTGCTTGCCGCTCGACGCCACTGTTCATTGCAGTCAATGTTCCTGGCGGCGGTGTCGCGATGGTGAAATTCTTACTGGAGGCCGGAATGATTAGAAGGCCGCCTGTCGTCCCATGTCGTCCCTATTTGTGCTAATCATACTCGTAGATTGAGTCCCCTGTATTGCTGGAGGCCGGAGCCAGTATCGAATCGAAAAACGCCTATGGCATTACAGCGCTCGCACGAGCTGCTGGGCTCGGCTGCACTGAAGTGGTGCGTTTACTTCTCCTCAAAGGTGCCAGTGTCGACTCCACGGACGACAATGGCTGGACAGCATTGACAACGGCCAGTAATCGCGGCCATGCTGAAGTTGTGCAGGTTCTGCTTGATTTCGGCTCCAATGTGCACCATATGAGCCATTGTGGCACGGCACTAACCTCGGCGTCCTACACTGGCCACGATGCAATTGTGCGTTTGCTTCTGCAGCACAGGGCACAGGTCGAAGACACCACTGTTTGCCGCATCTACCGGAGGTCATGTCAACCTTGTGCGCCTTTTGCTGGAGGCTCCGAGCTGGAGGAATGCACACAGTTCCTTCTATCGAAGGTGTTTATGCTCAATGTCATTAGCGCGTGCATCGAGACATGGTAATGCCGATCTCGCTCAAGTGCTGCTCGAAGCACGTGCAGACATGGACATGCGGTTCCGCGACTTTACAGCGCTGATGGAAGCATCTCGCCCCAAAATCATTTACAGTCCCAGCACACCGGAGGCAGCAAACAACTATTTATTGTGCAGCGGCCTTACATTTGCACCCTGCTGCAGTAAGGATACGCCCGCACTAAACCCTCAAAGTAGAGCTCAGCTACCCAAACCAAAACCATTTACAGTTTGGTGTTGTGGAGCTTAGGGCAAACCCTAAACCCCAAAGTATAAAGCCTATACCGTCGGCACCCGACAACTCCTTGTTCGGGTAGAGAAGAATGCTTAAAGTAGTCCCTGAGACCTGCTACATTGCGTGGAACCCTTTGGAATGTTACTTGGACAGTCCGTCCGTGCGTGCCGCGTGTTTAGGGTTTAGGGTTGATACAAATTCCAGAGTTCTTCGATTTGTATTCATGGCTGAGCATAATTTGTATTTGTGTGTTGTCTCTCTGTCTGAGTCTGCCTGACTGCCTGCCTGTCTGTTTATATTATGTATATGTAAGTTGCTATGCAGCATGTCGGTTCTTGTACATATAGACATCGCATGCAGCAGATCTTGTGAGCTGTCTGTTGGAGCTCTTTCGCTAGCTCTCTTTTCCTCGCTCAAACATGTATATGATATCTGTTATATTTAAATATCAACAAGTGAAAAAGAATGAATGATTAGATGGACATATGTGTGTGTGTGTGTATATGGATATGTAGATAAAAAAATATATGTACATATTTATATATACCTTGGGGACGAAATGAACCCTAAAAGGGTTTAAGGTTCATATACCATATAGGGATTCATAGTATATGGGAATAGGGCCCCTACTTTTAAGGGTCATCTGGTCCTCAAGGTATACACATCACATAATCGATGAAGAGTGGCTTGTTCAGCAGCAGACAGGCGGCAGACAGGCAGAAAGACAAACGACGGACAAACAGAAATGAGTACTTTTCCCTTGGCATCAAAATAGCCCAAGAGCCTCATATAATAAGGTCTTTGGGCCCAAAAGCCTTAAGGTATGAGTCCTTGGTGGGATTAAGATAATTACGTCCTCATTCTGAGTGCAAATGTGCGTCTCCATGCATGTGGCTTCCAGTCGTGCTGTCTCTGTGTGTACTTGTTGTATATACAAATTCTAAAGCCTAAACCCTAGAACCCCCAAACCCCAAAACCCTAAACCCTAAACCCTATAATATATACATCTGTCTAAAGAAAGGCATGAGCGCCAGAACACAAGCCCGTCATCCGGACTGATCCAGGCTTCTCTGTACAGCCGGGTGGACGTGGTTCGCTTTTTGCTGAAGGCAGGTGCCGATAAGGATGCAACGGATCGAGATGGCACCACGGCTTTGATGCTGGCATCTATGCCGCCGAGCCGATATTTCGAGCTTCTTTCTCGTAGAGTTCTTCCTGTCTTCAAGTCCTATGTTTTGTTCGACACCTCTTGCTAGAAGTGCCTGTGCACTAGATGAATGGTATACTTCCCTAAGATTCCATGTAGCTACATAGTATATACTTTGGCCCCAAAGCACGTGTACATATGTAGGGACTACGTTACGGCCAAAATCTTTTTCTATTTGGGGACATGGGCCCTTAGGGTCTGTTCGGACCGATATGGGGGTTTCCGAAAATAGGGGACCCTAGTATAGTACCCTAAATAGTAGGATCCTTATTATAAAGACCCCAAAACAAGGTACCCCTTATTTCGGAAAGTCCGATATCATGAATGTTTGACTTTGCGCCTCGCGAGATATGCTAAGGACAGGCCATGCCCAGATTGTTCACATGCTGCTTCTTGGCGTTCTTTTGGTTGGCTCTTAGGACTTTAACTTTTTGGGTTTCTATAAGAACTATAATAAGGGAGCTAAAAGTTTAACTTTTAGGAGGGGTTCAGAAGTCAGCCAAGGCTTAAGGCTGGTGCCGACAGAAACTTGGTTTCCAAAGATGGAACCACAGCGATGATGGAAGCTACTTCGTGGGGACACATCGAGGTTATGGGCTTGCTGAAGCCTCGAAAGCGGAAGAGGGAAACCCTGCCTTAGTCAGAGATTGCGAATGCCATGGTCGTGCCCCTAACAGGTTTGCATGCTCGCTCGCTCGTTCTTGTTTTCCCCCAATCGCTCCTGATGCACAGGCTTCCCCAAGGATGCTTCGTGATTCAGGTTCACCCGCATCTATTGTTAATCTATTACACAAGCTTATCTTCGCGGTTATGTATCACTGGAAGCTAAGTTAGCCGCTTTTGTAGGATCCCTATAAATTCTATTCCCGGCCAATAAGAACCCTCAAGACAAGTAGGTTAGGTTCGTTCAGGGTCTAAAGAGCTAACTGCTTAAACTGTAGACCCTGTACCCTAAACCCTAAACCCTAAACCCCTAAACCCCTAAACCCCCAAACCCTAAACCCTAAACCCTAAACCCTAAACCCCTAAACCCCTAAACCCTCAACCCTAAACCCTATGTTCTGCACAAGCCTGGGCCCCAAAGTCCGGGACCCGCAATCGGCTGCGCGCCCGACCGGAAAAGCACCGTCGACGACCATGGTTTAGGGTTTAGGGTTTAGGGTTTAGGGTTTAGGGTATGCTTCAGGGCTCGCATGTTAAAGTTAAAGACTTTCTTCCTAAGCTGTGCCAGGTGACTCGAAAACCCTAAACCCTAAACCCTAAATCCTAAATCCTACAAACCCTAAACCCTAAACCCTAAACCCTAAACCCTAAACCCTAAACCCTAAACCCAACCCTATGCCAGGTTTCAGTCGCCTCCTAGAGCCTTGATGAAGGACTCCTCCGCTCCCCCAGGCATGCATTCTAATGCAGAGGCCTCCATAAGGGTAGTTGTCAAAATTAGGATCCCTTTTTGGGTACCCTAAACAAAAAGGTGCCGTATTATAATAAGAACCCAAAAAGGGACCATGATTTTGAAAACTACCCATAAGTAGATTGGGGTCTTGGGGGTTCCTTACTATAAATATAGTATCATATACCCCCAAAACCTACTCTAATTATGAAGGCCCCTGCCTAAACCCTAAACCCTTATGGTAGCCCTGATAGAACCCTTTAAGGAACCCTTTAAACCTAAACCCTAAACCCTAAACCCTAAACCCTTTAAAGGAACCCCCCAGAACCTTATTCTGATCATTAAGGCACCTGTAGATTGCATGAAATTCTCATGCCCACAGGGTCCGAGTACCAACATACTGTTTAGGGGTTTAGGGTTTAGGGTTTAGGGTTTAGGGTTTAGGGTTTAGGGTTTAGGGTCTAGGGTTTACTGTTGATGATATAAATCCTGCATTACCTCATAAAGGATCCTGAATTATGAGAATTATGGGTAAATCGGATTCCTTATTATGGGCAATGCAGGATTTATATCATCAGCCGTAGTGCTGTAGCTAAACCCTAAACCCTAAACCCTAAACCCTAAACCCTAAACCTGTAGCTACTTCGTAGATATTTTGGGGCCCCAAAAGTGTCTCCTTCACTGCTATGTGGACCCTCTTGCAGCCCAGAAGTCCCAGATACTATACCCGGCTTAGGGTTGAGGGTTTTAGGGTTTAGGGTTTAGGGTTTAGGGTTTAGGGTTTAGGGTTTAGGGTTTAGGGTTTAGGGTTTAGGGTCTAGGGTTCAGGGTTGAGGGTTGAGGGTTGAGGGTTGAGGGTTGAGGGTGTAGGGTTTGATCAGGTTCGTGGTCTTTGTCAGCTCTTCGCTGATGAGCCGGAACAAGGCACGCTACAACCGTCGTGGTAAATAGGAGCTGTTCCGAAGGCTTCACATACCTAAGCCTTTAGGTGATCCTTCAAGCGGTTCCTTAAGATATGTGGGTATTGGTACCCTTGAAACGAAGTCCTGGACCTACAGAGTCTATAGTCTGTACTTATTGCCTTCAAGGGTTTCATGTGCAGATTCTATAAAACCCGTAGAACGCTGTCTTTGGGGCCGTAGAAAAGGCACACAACGTCTTAGAAGGTGTTGGATGGTTCAGGGTTGAGGCTCAAATCTGTAGGCGTCTGGGGTTAGGGCTTTGTAAGCAAGGGGAGCTTCAGGATCTATTGGGGTTTAGGGTTTAGGGATTCCCTTCTGTTTTGAGGGATACTTTCCCAAACCAGAAACCCTACATTCTGCAATTAGGGTACTTTGGACCCTTTGGGTTAGGGTAGGCCCTAAAGCGTTGATTCGACGTCTTGCGAAGCTTCAATTATCTTGGCGTTCTTCTGGTTGGCTCTTGGGACTTTAACTTTTGGGGTATTAGGGAGGGTTCAGAAGTCAGCCAATCATCCTGGCAGTGCCCTCAACACTAAACCCCAAACCCTAAACCCCAAACCTGAAACCCTAAACCCTGAACCCTAAACCCTATTCCTTAAATCATGAAGGAGTCAAGCTCATCCTTTTGGAGCAACTTGTAAACCCTATCATGTTGTTTACCCTAAGGGTCCATGTACCCAAATGGTATATACTTTGGCCCCAAAGTGCCTATATAGGGACTACATTAAGGCCAAAGTACATACTATTTGGGTACATGGACCCTTAGGGGTTGTTT